ACAAATTATACAACTACCTGTAGTGCTATCATCACTGCAGAAAACCGTTTTGAGTGCAGCGCTTAACAAGCCCACAAGACCTGACTTTCACACCAACGGCGTGCCGATAAATTCGCTTATTGATGAGGTTTGAACGTTTTTAATAAATGTGTGGTAAACAATATAAGTAATGCATATGTAAATTTGTTTCAGTTCACTTTAAAAACGTCTGTTGCCGCATGCGGCAGTCTGTATGCGCAACCTGCTATGGCTTCAGATGGCACTTATCTATATCTTCTACTTGGTAGCTCTTTGCTAAAGATTGGCACTGGATTTAGTGGCTCCTTTAAAGGTCATGTGTATGCACAAAATGACGAGTTTACCAAGGAAAAATCTGGTTGGCTGGGATGCTTCGGCGGGAAGCTCTATTTTCGGCGTAATGTAAAACGTTCGGCAGATCATCTGCATCTTGTCAACACGGAGACGTTGACTATTAAGGGGATCAACTCTGTTAATCTAGTACCCATACGTGATGGATTCAACTATGTCCTTTTCACGGATGAAGACTCCATTAATGCTATTTGCACCAATAGAGATGTAAGCGTAAATGAAATATATTTAAAAGTAAAGGACATACAAATACTAATTGTGGTCTCACATTTTTCCGCTAGGATACGCTTGTCGTGAAAAAATTAAATTTCAACAACTCTAATACTTACGGCAGCGACTCGACGACGCCATTCGAACTTCCGCTCAAGCTGGCGCGTAAAAAATTTCGCACACTTGGCTACGCTGCTTTCGAGGATGAGGTGCTCAATCAAAACCAAATACAAAAAATTCAATCGTCATACAATATTTTTGAGCCGAAATTGCCCAGCGATGTAGAAATACAGGGCATCGTTTGCGGCAAGGAATTCGGTCTTGTGCGTGCATCGAACGGTAAGGTGTATTACTATGGCAAGTCAGCATCGCTGGGCTTAAAATCTATCGGACGTACGCCCACGATGAAAATGACAGAGTTGATTATTTCCAAAGTTTCAAATATTGTACACATTGCTCTGGGGCATGATGGTATACATGCTTTATTAGTAAATGATGACGGTACTGTATACTTTACCGGTAAGTGAAAACTGCTATAATATTTATCACCGCTATAAAATCAAATTGCCTGCTTTAAGGTACTGCACGCCGGGGAGAAGATGGTGACTCTTCAAAGAATCGTCGCCAGCCAAAAGCCGTCAAGCCCAAAAAGATGTCAAAAATCGATGGACATGTAGTCATACATGCGGCCTGTAACAACGGCACCTCAGCTTTTGTTACAAAAACGGGCAAGCTGATTATGTTTGGCAAGGACACAGCGCATTGTGATGCCAGCGGTTGTGTGAGCGATTTTATTGATCAGCACATAACGAAAGTGGCGCTGGGTAAAGCGCATTGCGTGGCGTTAAACTCTAAGGGTCAGCTTTTCACTTTTGGTTTGAATAACAAGGGACAATGCGGGCGTGTGTTTACCAAATCCAGCAAAGATAATTGCGTCTCTCTGCAAGGTAGTGGGGGTGGTAATGCTTTCGGCATGGGAGCAATTGCTGATTCAGATGGGAAGGATTTGTTGGTGGGGAAAAAATTAAAATTCGATTTCTCCACACTCTGCGACTACGATGATCATCAACTAGTGCAAGGACAATGTCGCGTCTGTGTTATGTGTCGCGAATGCACCGGCTACAACGTGTCGTGTGTTTCAACGCTGAATGTGCCCATCGAAGAGCGGTTGGCCGGAGCGTAAGTGCAAGCAAATGGTTTCCTTTCATGTCTAAAAACTTTTGTTGCAGCATATGTCCCTGTGGTCATGGCGATGCTGGCTGTTCGAAATGTGGGCTCTGTTCCACCTGCATTTCACTGCAAGAGGCAGAAAATGATGCTAACAAGGACAACAAACAGCTGCATAGTGAGTTGAATCGCCAACGCTCGAAGAGTTTGATAATGCGCCGCAAGGAAAAAAAATCGATTGCGGAGGAAAGTGCCGGAACCCAAGCTACTGATGTAGACAAAGATCCACCTCGTGTTGCTCCATTAGCGCCTCAAATGCTCAAACTGCCCAGTAGCTCACCTGTCGTGCAAGTGTCTTGCGGTCTTCATCACACTGTCGTTTTAACGTTAGCTGGCGAGGTTTTCACTTTTGGCAGTAATCAATACGGTCAGTTGGGAACGGGTGATTTACAACCTGTAAACGGGCCTGTTAAGGTAAATGTGCAAGGCGCAATTAGCCAGGTCAGCGCTGGCAGCAATCATACAGTTCTGATGACTTACAAAGGCATGGTGTACACTTTTGGTAATTACCAAAAGGGACAGCTGGGTAGACTGCCCAATGATTTTCAGCGCGATAAGGCATCAGGCGGTGGGGAGGATGCGGGCGTAGCGTTCAATAAAAGAGCAAGTAGTGAGCAAAACGGAGCGACCGTGGGTATGAGCGGTGTGGGCAAGGATGTCGGCATTGCAAATTTATTGACACAGCGACAAAAATTCCTTTGGCATTGCGCACCCGGCGCGGTATTGTAAGTAAACGAATTTTTAGTATGTCTCTGTTTAAGTTTATACGATTTTATTAATATTGCAGCGGTTTGGGTCCGAGCTTTGGCAAGAAAGCCACTTGGATTGGCGCCAGCGGTGATCAGACATTCATCAAAATCGATGAGTCGCTCATTACTACACACATGTTGCCGAAAGTTAATGTGGTCGCCAATAAAAAAACAATTCGTTAGTATAAACAAGGCTCATATTGTCTTAATGATTCTAATAATTTTCTTTCATTCAATAGTACTGATACCAACTATTCCACTCACATTCCACACTCTTTCGATCAGTCGCCGTGACGGAAGTTGCACCGCTCATTATCGCAATCAAATAAATTTTGTGCAAATTATACAAAATAGTAATGCTAAAGTCATGCCGGAACTCAACCAAAACATCGCCGCTAGCGCATGCCCCTCGGTAGTAGCTAGCAGTGCACCCGCTGCGGTGGCGCCGCTGCAACCTGCCGTTGCTGGCCCCATCAATGAACAGATGTCGCGTAGTATGCATGAGGCGCGCAATCAAATCTTTGAATTGCAAGAGAGCCAGCAGGGAGAACAGCAGCAGCAACATCGTCGGCGGCAACGTGGGCACGAGCAGGCCAAGAGTCCTGCCAGTGTCTCGTCCAGCGGCAGCGGTCATGGCAGTGTTGTCTTGGACAAACCACAACCGCAAATCGCATTCGCCTTGGATCCCCACTACAATGTGTTGTGGGTGTATGATGGTGGGGCGAGGAAATTACAGTGCTACAATGTGCTTGCAAGCGAGATAGCTAATTGCGGTGTTGTAAGTTGATAATAAACCTTTTATTTCTCATTTTAAGTATTCCTATAATATATCTATTTCTGATACAGAACTCGTCGAATTTTCGCGCAATTCTATCACCTGAATTGGCCTTACCAAACAAAACAGATGCGCGTATATCGCGTTCACAAGCCTCTTTGAATTTACTGGCATGCTTGGATATCCTCACTTCGGCGCAGGATGCAATGTAAGAGTTAAGATTGAAAAATGAGTGCGCTTGGACCAAACTATGGAAGTGAAACTACTCTTCTTTTTATTCTTGTTGATTTTGTACTGCAGAAAGTTATACTAATCTTAATCCGCCGTTTCTATAATTCACTCTCAATATTAAAGAAGTTTCACTTCAATAAATTACTAGTGGTCACTCTAAGGACCAGTTTTTTAGTACTAGTCTAAATTTAGATCTTGTAAACCGCGTTTATATTGAACAGCTTGCTGACATTTGATTGGCTAATCTTAGTTAAAACTAGCCAGCTCGAGCGTTTAAACTCAGTTTAAACCACAACCGTGTACTGAAAAACTGGCCCAAGAAACCAACAACTAACAATATTTTATGCAATTCCTTAGTCCGAGCTGCTTTGACGAAGCCACACCCAAGCAACAAAGTCAGGCCAAAGAAGCTTTGAATAACGAGTACCAAATTGTCAATCGCTTTGATAATTTTGGCGGTGGATGGGGATACTCAGGCCACAGCGTAGAGGCTGTACGCTTTTCCGCCGATACCGACGTCATGATTTGTAAGTCCTGAGTATTGCTGTCGTTAGTTTATCTTACCTTCTTTTTGTTTACCGCCAGGCGGCTTTGGTATGTTTGGTGGTCGGGGAGAGTATACCTGCAAGTTGAAACTATTCGATTTAGGCGCCGATGGTGGCGGCTATGAGAAGGATGGTGTTCTAATTAGCGAAACCAAGGAGGTGCCATTTGAGTGCGCTGCACGCAGTAAACATCACATTATGTTGCCGAAACCCATAAGTGCTGCAGCAGGACGCTGGTATTTAGTTTGGGCGCGTATTGCTGGTCCCTCTTCCGACTGCGGCTCTTGTGGTCAAGCCTCTGTAACAACCGAAGATCAAGTTGTCTTCACATTCAAGTCATCGAAGAAAGCCAATAATGGCACTGATGTCAATTCCGGTCAAATACCATCTATTCTCTATCGTCTCATCACACAGGAATCAAAACAGCCCACTGCGCCGGTTGATGTGGATCCGGTGCAAAAGATTACAAAAGCCTTTGCGAATACAGTAAGCAAGGAGTGCTTTGAGAGTTTAGTAGTTTTGCTCAATTGGTCTTGGGAGACCTTTAAGACAAATTTGCGCGAGCAACGCGATAAAGGGCGGCAATTGCAAGTGAAGCAATCATTGGCTTACCTAATTTATGTGAACAAGTCCTGTCTGCGTCTATTGCGTAAATACACCAACGAGATATATCCCCAACGCGCCTCCGCAACATTTGTTAACACGCTGGCGGCGACAAGTATTGCAAATGCGCTAACGAAGCTGCAGACACGCGCTGGCAAGACGGGGGATGGCAAGGGTGCGTGGGTGTTTGGTATGAAAACATTTTTGCTTTATATTATTTTGTAATTTTTTTTTAGACAAAAATTCCAAATCCATTTTGAGCAATTCTGCGTCGACTGTTATTGCGAATAATGTAGCAAAGTACTTTGGTGAAGCCTCATCAGCAACCACATCAATGTCTGGTGCTCCAAACAACGGGTCGACTCGCAAGCCCAATATGGAGAATATACAATTGGCCGAGTGCATTGGCAACGTACGCGCGCTTCTTATTGGCATATTTTGCGATGATGTTTTCAAAGATATTTGTAACGAAAAAGGTAAAATACCGACATTATGCTTTTAGAATTTACTTCATGGAATTCCACCAAAATTTAGGCTTCGTCATGGTTGTAGAAATATTGGAAGAATGCCACATCAGCTTTGTGGCCTGTTTTGATGCCTTCTATCCTACCTCGTCGCTAAAATGGAATTGCTTGTGCGATCTGCTCTCCCAAATGGACAAGGTAATTTTTTAAATAACGATTTCCATTTCAGTTTGTAGTATAAATTTACCTTCCAATTTTTCGCACTGCAGCAAGGCACCTTACATTCGCGGCTGTTGAGCGCCATACTGGCTGGTCTTTGTTCTCCTTCGGTCAAATTGCGTACCACGTTTTCGCTTCTTAATCCAGGCAATGAGCGCCAATCGATAATTAGTCCAAGCGACAACTCTGGTCTACCAATGTTGTCATCCACTGAAGCACATCAATATCCAATACTTGTAGAACAAATGATCTATCGTACGCAGCAGGAGAAAAGTGACTTTCTTAGTAATTCGTGGACTTTCAAAGATGTGCTCGTGCGGCTATTGGACATCATCGCGAATCCGATACGCGCACGCATTGAGAATATTTACAATCGCAGTGTGCAATTTAATTATACAGCTGCTTACGGCGGTAAAGATATTAATCAAGGATTGATCGACAACTGCTGCCATCTCTTGGCGCGTGTGTTGGCCGAAATAGTATATCAAACCTCGTTGGGCGATGTGAGTTGCAATGGGGGTTAATTTTGTCGTTTACTATTTTCTTCATTCGTTTTTTTTTGCAGTATGACAAAATGTTTATGCCGCCACGCAGCCTTCACTCTACCGGTTCCCGTTTTGCGCGCTGCGACCAGAGCCGCACTTGGAACACCGGTAATTTCGGACCCGATGCGATTGGGTTTACTGTGGATCGAGCTGGTATTGCAATTGCGGGCGCCATGGTGTTCTCTGGTTCCGGTTCATATGATTACCAATTGGAATTGTTGTATGACAACACCGTAGATTTGCAGTCTCAACACAAATGGGAAACACTCGAATCCGTATCGGGCTCATACGATCAGGATGTAGTACACAATGATATGACAGAAATAAAATTTGAGAGACCGGTGCACATAAAGGTATAGCATCTGCGATGTTTATTAATTCGTGACATTTTAAACAATTGCTAATTTTAGGAAAATGCGCGTTATGCACTTCGCTTGTGCTCACAAGGCGCCCGCACTTGCTCCGGTGATGCAGGCATGCCTTCGATACGCGGTCCTTGCGGCACTACATTCCAGTTTTACTCCTGTGACTTGAGCTTCAATGGCACTACGCCACAACGCGGCCAAATACCTTGTATACTTTATTATAGCACGCCCGTAAAGAGTGATGGGTCGGGAGGTGGCTGTGGGGTCGGTAGCATTGGCAACAGTGCGAACGGTGCACCACCCTCGAATGAGGTGACCACTCGTGATACTGCTTTGCAAATTGCCAGTGATATTACAAAAAAGTGCACTGAATTGTTGATTTTAGCACGCAATGCTTTGGCGGCTTCACTCTCACCATCAGACAACTCATCGAATCACACACAGACTATTGACTCCGAGCACAATATCACCCCAATTGAGGAGCATATGGACATCAATTGGGCCAATAATTCTCGTACCTCTGTGCTACCTGTAGATGCGAATATATCAACTGCACGTGATATAACAAAGCGCATTGAATCTTTTTCGAAGGGCATTATGGAGACTTTGAAATTTGACAAGCGCTCTACAAATCCATTTGAAATGGAAATCGAAATAGGCGCCACAGAAATACATCCAAAAGACTTGATGATTGAGGAGAGTACAGGAGTGCAGGATTTGAATTTCCGTAATGGTCAAATAGCGAAGCTCAACGGCAATGAACGTGTGGATGATGAAGATGAAGTAGCAGAGGAGTTTGTGAATGTGCAACATCATCATCAGCAGAACAATCAGGTTGGCATTGGTGGGATTCTGCGCTCCGATTCGGAAGATGTGCCAGCTACTCAGTTAACCGTTGTACAGATTATGGAAGTTTTCAATATGGCATCATCCAATATGTTCCATACACTCTTACCGCTCGTTTATGCGCATATCGCTAATTTGGCATGCAGTGATCCAAAAGTTAGTAAATTTTCTTAAAGGTAATATACATAGAATTTTTCTTACGTTCTTTCTCCTCTCCCGCAGAGTTCTGTTCAAATACTCGGCATGATTAAGGAAATACTGCCGCATATTGCCGCACTCAATCAACTTTACGCTACGAAAGATCAAAACGTTGCACCCAGTGCCGCAGCCACCATTAGTCCGGCTGCGGCCGCGCAAAGCGTGCGCAATGCTATTGCCGTCGATAATCGTCAATTCCGTTCGCGTAAAAAGAGCGAAAGTGAGGCACAAATGCTAGGCGATCGAAATGCAAGCGAAACCATCACCACTAGCAATCATTATTGTGTGGTGGAGAGCGAACATCCATATCGTAGCGCTACAATTAGTTGTCAGCGTGTTGAATTTCCTTCCTGTGTGCAGTGGTTAACTATAGAGTTCGATTCGCAATGCGGCACTGCGCAACTGGAGGATTATCTTTTGCTTTCCATACCCATGCGTCCGACAATTACCGAACCTTGTCCATCGAATGAAGACTACTTTGATATGTTGGATAATAATATGCGGCGTTCAAATGGTTGCGCAGGCAATTCTCTGATAAGCAGTTGCTATAAAAGTGCGATTGGAAAAGAGGAGGCGGATGTTGGTACGAGTATGGAGCGCGACTGGATTGTGGTGAAGAAATTTAATAGGTGAGTAAAATTTGAAGGTGGCTTTTTAAATGGGATTTTCTCATGCTTTCTTCTATCATTTAAAATCTTATTGTTTATTTCTAGTTCTTCAAACTGGATGCAAAATGTTATGATTTTACCCGGTAATTGTGTTGAGTTTTCATTGGAAACATCTTCGCTGTACGCACAGGATCCCCACATTAATCGTTATGGCTTTAAATGTCTTGTTGTCGGTTATGATAATCCATCGACGGTAAGTATTTTCATCTCGTTGGATGTTTGGAGTATTATTAAGTGAATTGTTTATATTTTTCTAGCTAAGCGCTGCTAATTCATGTTTAATACAACTGGAGCAGGAATTAGCGTATTTAGGTGGCATGTGCAGCGCCAATCTCATGAAAAAGGACCTCAATTTGCCAGGTAGATTCATTTTTGTATATTTTTAAGATAGGATATGCTGAAAGAGCTGTAAATCTCTTATTTTTATATTAATTAATTTTGAATTTTCGTTCGGAGTATCTAATCGTAAAAGAACATATTCGCTACCAATACAAGAGCCCCTAAATATACTTTTTATATTCTGTAAATGAATTTTTGTCTTGAAAATGTTTAAACATTTCTTTTAATTTACTTGACTTTTAAACAGTTTTTGTTTTACTCGTATCACGGCAGATTGCTGATTCTGAAGGCGTCGCCGTTGATCTATGTACACACAAATATATTTCTGCCGTTGCTGTAGTGGAATACAGTATTTTTTTTTGATTCCAATATCTTTTCATTTTACACTCGAAAAGCAAAGAGTGATTTTTAGCTGTGATTGCATTTGGAATCACAATAGAACTAACTATTCGTAGTTTTTATACGGTATTAGAAATACATAAAACCAAAATGATCTTCTTTGGGTAAATTATAAATATTTTTATTTCTTTCGATGTCCTTCGTAATAATTGTTTAGAATTAATTATTTGATAAAATTATTTCATTGTAGTTACACATATAACGTCCAGAATATATAACAATTTTTCTTAAAATACAAGCAAATTGTACAATCGCTCATTTACTTCAATCAAATCATATAAAAAATTATAAATATTAAGCTAAGTGTACAGAAATTACTGCTACCTCTTCTTCTATGTTGAACTAAAACAAAATATGTATTCATTTTTACTATGGGAGTATATGTAAATTCAAAACTTTAAATCCTTTTTACTCGAGTTTCGCTTTTTTGAGTTATGACACTATTGAAGTAAATGAGCGATATGTATTTCTCTAAATTTTATACTTTTTACTTCAATTCCCTTTTTAATAACTTTTTCACGTTTTGTATTTTTTAAATTGTACTTTAATAAATATTCATTTATTTCTTAACCTAATCTTATAGACGATAAAGATATGGAGGACCTCGGTGGTGTTGAGGAGACTATAAATATTCATCATGCACTCTTATCAAAAGGTTTTGCGCTATCTGAGCCAGTTTTAACAGTACATCAAGCATTAGAATCCTATCTGCCAATTGGGTAAGTCAATAAAAGTTTATTTTTTTATTTTTATCAATAATGAATAAAACTCGAATAAAATGATTGTGTGTGTGAAAACAGCAAGTAAACATTTAACAAGAACACTTCAGCAATGAAATTACGAAGAACTGCAATTAAAAGAGAGGGATAATTGAATTTTAGATGAACGAAAAATGCAAAACATTGCAACACGGTCCCTAAATGGCAAACTTTCGTACTAATTCAACAAATTATCTGCTGCGCGAACACTATCGCACAATAATAATATGGTTCTCTATAACTTTAAATTTAACCTCTGTCCTCTGTCTGACCTAACCTAATCTAAGCTAAGCATATAATTTATTCGTATATATGTATGTATGTACATAACATACAAAAATATAAAATGTCTACATAAATACCGTATTTTATACAAATTAACTCTACAATTTGGTAAAACAGCGTATTTGGATTTCCTATAATTTTCACCTCCTACTTCATGCCTTCTCGTACATACATATACAATACGCACATGTGTATTTATAACGTTCTGCTTAAATTATATGTAGTAAACTTCTAAATTTTTTGGCATGGCAATTATTTTGCATAGCATCTCTAAACGTTCCACATACACCTCAACTTAGCCTTTGCTACGGCTAGCACTCACAAGTCAGTCTTTAGGAGTCCCGCATTTTCGATCTGATAGATGATTTGCGTCTCCTTGTAGGTGCGCGGCTCTGGCATAACGACATCCAATTTGCGTTTCTTTCGTCGTTTGGCCAATTGCAGCCACACAATTACACCAACTAAAAGTAGCACTAGCACCAACGCTAGCACGCCTAAAAGTATGTATAGCAAATAGGAACGTGGCTGACAATTTGTTTCGATGTATTTGTTGAGTAGGACAAAATCGTTGGAATTGCTTGCTGCATTCATTTGTCCATTGGCTGGTGTTAATGTCAGCTTTTTGGCCGCCACTGTTAGCACATAAATATTGTCAACATTATTGCGAAAGAATGTTTCCTTGGGTATTGGTGGTTTTTGGGCTGTATCCAAATCGTTACAGCCGTATGTATTCTCATAGCGTAATTGCTTGAGATTGAGCGCAAAGCGATCGTTGAATTCGAGCGGACGCGTTTCAGATGGCAACTGTACAGTATTGTTGTTGAACTGCAGCTCGAGTAGTTCGCTGTGCATGTAGTCGCGGTGAATATGGATGCCTGGAAGGTGAAAAGTTGAGGATGGGTTTTTTTTTTATTTGTAGGTTTATTTACACGTGTTAATGATCGGTTACCTTTGAAAGCAATCGGACTAGTCAGACCGAAATAGTTATCCCGTATGATGACGCTTTCCCGCACATATGCTTCAATCCACTCAGCATCGATGGAAGCAAAATAGTTGCCCGTAATGCTGAGTTTATTGATTACTAAAAATGGGAGAAAATTACTAAATTGATTGATTTGTATAAGGAAATTGATGTACATATATTTTATTGCCTGCAGCTGTACAAATGTACATATCGTTACTTCAATATAGAAAGGCCTTATTAAAACTGTTTGTGAATTTAGAGAGTAGTTACAAAACTTTATAAAAACGGAAGTTCTTAAGTTGGAAATTTTTTTCAAAATCATGGATTTAATAAACATTGACGCTAATTTATTTATGTAGTAGTTGTTTTTTAAGCTTATTAAAGCATTTAGTGAGTACCCAATCAACCGACCTTTGTACAAAGCTTAATTTCGAAACTAAATGAGTTAGCGCATTTCTATATTAAAGTTACCATACCTACAAATTAAAAAAAGATAACACAAAAATGAAAAAATAATAAAAAACCATAAAAAGATCCATATAAAAAGTAAATAATGAATTAAAAAAATACATGAAGAATCAAAAAAATAAACAACACAAAGAGAAGAATACAATACAAGTAATTTTTAAGCAAAAACACAACCGACTTCAATTCTCATAAAAAATTTAGGAGTACCGTTAATTTCTTCATGATCCCATGATCACATCTAACCACCTTTCCGATAGAAAAAGAATTATCGAAATCGGTTACCGTGGTCCACAGTTATGCGGTAACATACATAAAAAAATAAAAATAAAATATTCCAACGAATTGATAACCTTCTCTTTTTTGTGAAGTCGGTTAAAAATTACAAACTAATATATAAAAAAATTAAGTGAAAAGAAATCCGTTCCAAAAATTACAACAATCTAATAATACTGGCATATTTTTATATCTATTACAGTAATTTACACTTTATTTAGTTTAGTTTTATAAATCATCGCTACTTACTTTTAAATGAAAATGCATGCGAATGCACCTCTTGAAATTGGTTGTTGTGTATGCGCAAAGAGTTGAGCACCTCAAGTTCGTAAAAGGCTTTCGATGGCACATTTGTCTGGAACATACAGCTTCGGATTTCCAATTGTTCGACTGCGAACTTTTTGAAGGCCTGCGATGAAAAGCATTTAATTTATAATCTTATTAAAAAAAAAATTATTTCAGCATTAGAATAATCTCATTTCGAGGGGAAACAGTTTTTCGAGACGCATAGCATAAACTCTGAGCCTTTCCTTTCTAACTTCAGAACGTCGTTGACGGTGACAATACTAAAAACAGGCAAAGGTTAGGAAGTACCCAACAGCGAATGGAGGTGCTGCCTCATTCAGTCATCACAGGGCAGCAGGACTTTCTGAAATTTTTTTTTTCTTGGGTCCACTGCTACTTTATAAAATTCGCAGTTTGAAAATAAAACATTTCTACTGGCTTTATTAGAGCAGAGTTTACCCTAAAACTATTTTCAGAGAGTTGTGTCATCTACAAGAGCGTATTTACTTTGCCCGAGATCATGAATGGAAACTAACTATGTAGTATTAGTTAGAGGGAACTATGGTCACTCTTCTTTCTTGGATTAAACTTTCACATTCATGTTTCTCAATCGCTGATCGGTGAAAACGCCAGAAAATCTAAGGATGTCTCGAGGTTTCCTCTTATTTCGTTGTTGGAACAATTTTTATTTACACTGCCCTGAAAAAGTTTGGACCCACTTAAAAAATATATATGTTTTTTTTGTATTTATCGCTTTTAGGCGCCGACGCCATCGTGGCAGAAACTCCCCATTCCCCGTCTTTTAAATCAGGAGAAAATACCTCGAGCCTTTTTGTTTTGAACACAAAAAATAATGGTTTTTTAAGATGTTTTTGTGACATTAAGGGCCGCTTGCACTACGTCTAGTTAACACTATTTGGAGGTACATGCTTCAGTTAAACACATCGACTGCTTTATTGGTCGCATGTTATGACATGCTGGTTGTCGATAACGTCGATAACGATGTTTAACTAGGAGTTAGATTAACTTGACATGGTGCGAACGGCCCTAAGAATTTTTTGTTTCTCTTCTGGATGACGGCATTGCATGTTGCCCGCAAGTGTGTTCTTTTAAAAGTCAAATTTACTTGTCAGAGGGATCAGCTGAGAATTCGAACATTCGAATGGCCACCAGAAAGTCGAAGCGACCAATAGTGATGCCTTCATTGGCCATTAGAAGGCCATAATTCAGGCCAGGAGTGCCTAAACTTAAAACCACTGATACAAGATAATTAATTTGTCAGCCCTTTTTGTTTAATTGTACAAAATTCATTAATAAATAAAGAAAATATGACACTTTTATTTGTTAACAATTAAATTGCTGTACCCTGTATAATAAAACTGAATCCAATAAATCCTATGAAATTGTATCACGCTTACCTGTGGTTCTATTCGCTTAACCAGCACATTATCCATTTTCAGTAGAATAGCGCGATCTTTGAGTGTCGTGAAACCAAATGGATGTATCACATCGATGCGTCCACCAATAAATGAGATCTCTTCTATGTTACCATTGATTGCATGTGAATCAATTAACTCGAAATTCACCTGGAAATAAATACAAATATTCCAGCATATGACATTTTTTCAGTTGTTACGCTATCAATACGGGCATTAGGGTCATTCCATTAGGGTGACTGGTGGGACATTTTACACCAGAATTATAATTATTGACATAGAACGATAACTAATATATAAAATTTCCTAAACAAATGCCAAACAATTTCTTAGTTCTATGTAACTATCATTTGATTGAATGTGACTGGTGGGACACTGAAAAGAACTCTACTTTACCTTTGTGCATTCAAAGATGCATTTTAGCCAAAATATAAAAAATATGAAATGAAAAAAATATGAAAAAAAAAATAAAAAAAAATAAAATAATAATATCAAATATGAATAATACGCTTTCGTTTTCAATAACAACAGGCCGAAATAATCTTCACAGGACTATTATAAAAATATTTAAATTTTGTGGCTCAGGTCCTTGTGACTGGTGTAAAAATGAAATGTAGTCATTTAAAACGAGGTTTATGTCGTTTTCCTCTTTTACATGGAATGACCCATTAAGTACTCACTCTTGGTACTCACCCTATCGAATTCGATAATAAGCGGTGTATTGCTGGCGTAGCGTGGAAAGGCCAGCGCATATTTGTTTAATATTAAATTTTCGATATTCTTAAAATTAATTTTACGCAAGCCTTGCGTATCTTCCAGTGCATTGGCTTCGATGGTCAAAAACTTGCAATTACTTATCTCTACTTGGAACACATAGCCGATCAGGTGGGGCAGCTGTAGGCGCTGAAAAAGGTAGATAAACGAGAGCAATATAATATTGTAATAAATTAAAGGAGGCTAAGAAATTACTAAGCGTATGATGAGTCATCCCTACAAATGTTATTATGTAGCTACATACATACATACATGTGTTCCTATGAACATGTGCGTTTCGATATGCGAATACATAGGAGCATTTGTATGAACGTGTATAGTACAAATAGGAACTTACCTGATTCATATGCTGACAATCACAAGTGAATTTGGTGTCATGCGCTATACAAGTGACGTTCTGCAATGTACCCAAGGGCGGTGGGAGTGGCTGTAGTGGTGGTTGTAGTAGTGGTGGTCGCCAATCCCCGCCATTGTTGTAGTAATCAGCGCCGCTGTAAGATGCGGACAGTGCGAGCAATGCCATCACCAACCAGCAATTTATTGTTGTGCCAATCCGTTGGTGATTGCCTCTGCAGTTTCGCCATAGCCAATTATTTTGTGTTTTATGATTTGGCAATGTTTTTTGTTCTTTATATTTCTTATGTGATTTTTTAATCAGCGATGTGGCGGCCATTGTAACGTTTTTTGTTGCACGCAATTTTTCATAGCTTCAACATGTAACTTTTTACACTGCTTTAGCACTTTAATTAATTTTAATTTTTTTTAATATCTTTTAACTACATTCACCAGTTTCGTAGGTGTAAATGCATCGTTTCGCTTGAGGTCTTGCCGACAACTGAAAAACTGATAAGATTGTACGGTTGACTTGGGAGTCACTTCATTGTTACTACTTAAATACCTTATAAATGCTTGGTGTGATATTTGTTGTTGGTTGTTGTTCGATATCATTTTGCTGTTAGTAGTATCAGTATTGGGTTGGTTAGTGTAATTGAAATAAATATTTTATATTGGTGTGCATGCGCTGAATTATCTCATTATACGTATGTATCTGTATGCACGTTAACGGTTTATTTCTTATCTTATCTTATCGCATATTTTTTTGCTGACATACATACATATGTATACTAGGTATATGTATTTAGTAGTGTAGTGTAGAATGAAATAGGGGGAATTATTGTTTGTTCCATTTCTCATGTACATATATTTTTTTTATCGATTCGAATTTTTCGCAAATGATTTAGAATTTAGTTAAAGTGATATTTGAATTAGGAAAATTATATATGTAAAATAGTTTAATCATGGTGAATGTGTGCGGCACACGCATGTATAAATGCACCTCCATTCACTTGGAGGCAATTTTTTTTCTTCAAGATCCGATCTCATTTCTGAATTTGTAGGCATCGGAGAAGCTTCATTGTAATCTCATTTCGAAGAATTCGAAGAAAAATGGTGAAAATGAACATACATACATACCCTGATTACTGGGTTTTTATTCCGCTATTTATCAAACTACACGAAAAATCTGCATGTTTTTGTTTTTTGTTTTTTATTTTTGAATAGGTACAGTGGCTGGCTTTAACAAAAGGGAAGGACACTCATTCATTTAAATTCTACTATTTAGCACTTTTGGTATTGGAAGCCACATCCGTAATGCTAATCTATGGAAAATATTCCTGTTGAAGGCTCTTCTAGAGGCATTTTAAGAATTCAAGGACATCGTCCGAGAATATGCAACAAATGTTAAAACAATGTCCATTACATTTTCTTCCATGCATTTTTGGAAATTTTTGAAATTTGAATCTTCATCTGAACTGGAAATCCAACAACAGTCGTCCTTTCAAAAATTGTAAAAATTACACAGGTTTACAAAAAAAAAAAACAAAAAAGTATCTGCATATTGAACCAAACCGCTATATCCCATGTTAGCCTCTATCACGTCAGGTTTGTGGTTATATGAAGATCAAGTAGAGAAAAATTCATTAAATAAACCTGAAAATACAATACAATTCTTCTGAATTTGATCTTGAGATAACCTTGGCATGAGCTTTAGATGACCTTGAAAATTGAAGGAACCCACATATTCGGATTCAGTGACAACAAAAACTAAAAAATGCATTTCTATTTTTATTAAATAAATTCTTTTTCCTATTTGACCCTCAAATGACCTCGAACCTGATACACTATAGAGGTTTACGGACCTCGAACTCGGCTTCAGCGAGTCAAAAACCCCATATATATGAATTTTCAGGTTAATTAAATGAATTGTTCAGTAATTGACCCTCGAATGACCTCAAACCTGATGTGATGGAGGCTAACCGACCTCGGATTCGCACTTAGCGCGTCGAATAACATAGGAATACATATTCATTATTAAATCCGTTGGGGCCAACAAAATTAAAGGTTTCTCCTGAGAATATCATCATTTTCTAGTCGTCCTTCCAAGGCATACGATTCGTACAAAATTTCAGTTCTGATTCCTAACGTTGTGTATTAAAATGTATGCCCCTTTTTGACTTTTATTGAACTCAAGTGTACTTGTATTGAGTAATTCGTACTCTACCTTGCAGTGTCAAGAACATGGCATGCCTTTTGTGTTCTGGCTCCATTTCATGTTATTGCAAAGTTATTTTAGAAAATGAAACGCCGAAAGACTCGAAATTAATTTGCAAAAACTTTTGCCATTAAATTTTGTAAAAAACTAGCTAGTCCCACGGCGCTTTACGAGTATTTCCCAAAATGCTTAGTTTATTCCTTAACACTTCTGCTCGACCTGTATTAGAAGTAAATTTTCTTTTCAAAGCCCATAATCACTTTGTTGAATCGGATTAATGCTAATCAATATCGCTTTAGGCCGAGACAAAAAAAACTTCACCAATTGCCTCTCTGCTTTATGGAGTTGCGGCAGTTATTCACACCAAGGTTCTTCTGATAAGCTCAAGAAACTTAGAGGATATTGTATGCTTCGATCAAATCCAACTTTTGCTTAACATGTTTTACTTGCGCATTCGTGTGCTTTCTTGGTTTTCGGAACGCCATCATGCATCGTATGAATTGACTATGGGCTGCCAAAAAAATTGTAGGTTTCTTCGAGATTCGTGAATATATATCGAGCTACTTTAAGTCGTATTGAAGGCATTGATCGTGTTTTCTAAAAAACAGATGCGTCCCATAGCGGTTACTGCTTTGGTCTCAGCCTAAAAAAAGCATTATGGGATTTTATGTATATGCAAGCTTCCCTCAATCAAGTTACTGGGAGTAGATCCTGTACCGTTTAGAGCAGTGTGGGAAGATTGGATTTTTTTTGTCAGACTTCTTCAACCGCAACCTAATGGCCTCAGTCTTACTGCACTCTTAGCTCTTAGCTGTAGAGAGCATCTCTTGTAAATTCCAAGTATAAGATATTTTGAAATATTTCGACTAGAGATGGGCGCAGGATATTGGTACCCGCGGGGCCCACGGTCTGATTTCAAAATGGCCGAGATGAGTGGTATCGGGAACTCCCGACAAAACGCGCAGCCGCCGTAATAAGCACTTTCTAATGTTTTATTGAGACGAAAACGAACGGCAAACCGAAAAAAAATCTTATATTTTTTTATTAAGATCATAAGTACGAAATAACTTTTTCCAAAATTTTCCTATTTTCTGTGCAATATTTCTAATTTCTCTTTCCGTATGGACCTGGATATGGTCGAAATATTAAAAAAAAAGTTTTTACGGAATCGGTATTTCTTAAGTTATTAAAAGCTTTCCCCGAATGAAAATGTTAATATTTATCTGAACAAAATTGTATCCCTTCGAGACCAACACTATTTCACATCAGAGAATTATTTCATGCCCACGCTAAGAAAGATCTCAATTGATATGAATTTACCAGGAAACTTCCAACCTTTTTTGAAACTCTTCGGCACTCTCAAACTTTATACGTACATACATATGTATGTCCATTAGCGTGCATCACCAAAACAATTTTCAAACAATTTATTATATTTTAAGAGTTCCGCAAAAATATTCCGGAAAATATTAAGATTTCCGTAGGCAAGACCGAGTTGAAAATACCTCCAAAAATTCTTAAACATTTTAATGCAGACCTTTTAAGCTTAAGCCCTTGCGTTATCTGAGGTGATTTAAAAAAAAAAAGTTTTAAATCCCATTTTTTTAATGGATTTTGAAAAGTATTTGAAAACTGGTCCCGCTCACGTAAATCTTACTATTTTTCCGAAATATTTTGGCGGAAGGCTTAGATTAGGTTAGGTTAGGGTAAAGTGGCTGCCACCGCGCAGAGCACGAATCGCACGTACACTGGAAAATCCCGTTGTTATTCCATTGACCCAGGCCATTTGTTTCTTTCTCTCCCTTAGTAATTGAATAGAAGGTTCATCGAGTAAAAAGCACTTGTTGAAGAATTGGTTGCGCTTGTTGGCCAGGGCGGGACAATGGCAGCGATAATGTTCGATGCTCTCCACCTCTTCCTCGTCTCCTCGTCTCCTCGTCTCTGCAACTGCGACACAAATCGTTGGTGGAGTATCCTTAACTTTTACCCTGCGGGCCCATTAGGCAGTGGTCGCTGATTATTCCGACTAGTGATCTAAGAAAAGAGCGGTCCAATCGAGTGAGAGCTTTGGATCGCTTTACATCAATCTTTGGCCAAATTTACCTGGTAGTATGGCAGATGGTTTCCAGTGCCCACCACCTATTTACCTCCGGAAGTCTTAAAATATAATAAATTTGATATTTCCGATGCAAAAACACTACCGATTATTTTGTATGGAGAGTGATGCACCCTAATGTACATACATACGTAAACAAATGTTGCCACACATGCCATCTATGAAATTTAATTGGTTTGATTTATATGATTTCTTTGAAAGTGATTTGTCACTTATGAATGCCACACACATTGTACTCAGTTATCAAAAGAACGAATCTAACATTTTAGAACAGTCCCAAAGAAGTATCCCAATAAACCAACTGGAAATACCTTATTATTAATGAAACAACGTCACATCTCAAAACAATAGAAAGTGGAGAAAAACGCGTTTGAAGTTTACAGTTTATACATATACGCTCCCATAGTAAAAATTAGTGTTGGGAGTATCGAGTACTTTTGAGTATCGAGTACTTTTGAGAATCGAGTACTTTCTTTAAATATACATATGTTGGTAATATTTCAATGCTTAGTGTAGAAATCTCACTAGGTGGCAGGACTTTATTCAAATTAATATATTAATTCCAAATAATGTCGATTGAATGCTACTTTGGAGTACTCAGTATCGATACTTTTAAAAATCGGGTACTGTCGATCCTTTTGAGAATCGTGTTATGAATACTTTTTGTATCGATACTGCCCAACACTAGTAAAAATTAAGACATATTTTTTCCAAAGAACTATTGTTAATCGATACAGAGCTATTTAATTCCTACACATCATAGAATAAGAGGTGGCTTTACTTAACTCACAAACATTTTTGTTGCCGTTATTCAAGCAAAGGCACGATATGTGTGTATTAGATCGCTATATCCGCTTGAGGGTCCATTTTCATTATCATCCTCCACTCCTTGACTATAATCTTCAGTTGCTTACTGGTCGGTTGTCAATTCTACACACAATGCACACACCGACACTTTAAGACCACTCACAGTTAAATAAATAACTTCATTGAAAGCCCAAAGAATGTAACAAGCTAACGATCACTGTTACAAACTCAACCTAATAGGCTTAATTGAATTCGAGGTCTTTCGTGGGGAGACAACACGCGACTACAAAGCTGCAATTGACAAACCGCAGGGCTCCACAAAAAACTGTGATTTTTTCGCTCGCAATGCATTTATTTATTTATTTGTTT